AAAATAAAATAAAATAAAATAAAATAAAATAAAATAAAATAAAATAACTGAATCATAGAGAATTGAGGAACTATCAAATGAAATAATGAGCTTGCAAGTGCTTTGTAAACTGTAAAGTGCTACAGAAATATTACTTGCCATTGCCATCTCAGAGTCACATAAAACTATTATAAGCATGCAGTTTGAAAATTCAATCTGTCATCTTGACAGTTATTAGTCTAACTTTCCCTTGTCAATAAGCGGATTTAAGATAGTACACAGTTAAGCAGAAAAATGGGAGTTGAGGTAATTAAAATAATTAGATTTTTTTCCAAATAAAAGACTGGGATTTAAACAATCTTAGTTTTAGAAGGGACCTTAGAGGTCAGCTCACCCTGCCTGATCTAACCCAATCTTTACCCAGTGCAGTGGTCCTCTAAATTACATCTATGCTCTGGTGGCAAGCTCTAGTTGACAGAGCAGGAGATTCCACACTGAATAGAAATTGTGTTTCTTGCATACTAACTTTCAAGAAATCTCAAATTGTGCAATAACTGTTTTTTTTTTTTCTGACAATAATTTAGGTTTTAAAATCCAAATTGATTTAAAGTCTTTATCTTTTTGGCATTCACCCATTCCTTTTGGAAATGTCACAAGTTCAATAAGGAGGTAATGATTCTCATGTTGAAATGAATATTCACTGAACCAGTTACTCAGTTGATCAGACTAACTGAGGTATTTGGAATCATGTAGACAAGTTTCCTTGTAGATCAAGTAAAGTATTTCATTCATAGAAGAGTAGACATAGAATGGAGTTTCATTTTGTTTTTCTCTCTCAAAAATACAGGCTAAAGAAGTGTCCTTCAATGGTCAGAATTATATATTTTTAAGAATAACCTACAAAATAAAGTTATAAGCATAAAATTACATGGGTAATTTTTGGAATAAGAAGGTTAAAGTGAAAAAAAATTTCAATTTCCTCATATTTTGCAGGAATCAAGCTGAAATATGTTTAAAAGTAATTTACATTCTCTTATAAACCTGATGTTTCCTAAAGTGTTAATTTGAAGGAAAGCTATTCCCTTTTCACTTTTCTTTTGGGGAACTTTGAGTGCCATCCCCTGAAATTGCTCATTGTGATGGTGAACACTGAAACCTGCCATGAACCTTCTTTCTCTTTTAGGATGCAACTTGATTGTGCTTTCTTGGAGTCTCTTCTGAACAGTTTCAACTGGATTTTCATTCATGTTTTCATATTGGTACCCACAATTAACTTCCCTTTCCTTAGTATCTTTTATAATCAACTTGTGGGCTGAGACTGAACAAACAAATAATACAAGTTAATAGCTGCTTTATTTCCCCTCTCATTTGAAGTGATTGAGTATTGCATCTTGTTTCAGAGATAAGTCTTCTATTTGTACTCCTGGCAACCGTTTTTGAATACAGAAAATGTTTGATAGAATCCACACATAATCTGTCAAGCACAAGATAGGAGTCTGTGGTTCATTTCTGTATTCAAGAAATACTTACTGTGAACCTCTTATGAGCCAGACACTTTCCTATAACCTGAGGATAGAGCAAACTGATAAAAACCCCTGCCTTCGTAGTGACCTTATGTGGAGTAGGTGACCAATAACCAAAATAAAAAGGACACTGCAAAACATGTTAGAGAGCATAAAGGAGGCAGATAGTGCCAGACAGGAGGGTTATAGTTTTAAAATAAGGTGATCGCCAAGAAGGTAACTGTTGAATAAAGACCAAAAGGAAGCAAATCTGAAAGCCACATGGATCTCTGGGGAAAGATTATGCCATTTAGATAAAATAGTCTGTGACAGCCTGGAGGATGGAGCTCTCCTAGGGTTTTTGAGAAACAGCTATGAGGCCAACATATCCAGAGTAGTGAGAAAGGAGAAGTAGAGAGGCCACTGGAAGACATTGAGGAGAGGAGTTACACAATCTGACTTAAGATTATTATACTTACTCTGGCTGTTGTGTTGGGAATGGACACTATGGGCTATGTGCAGGAGCAAATAGACTAGTCAGAAAACAAGTGGAGGAATCCAGATGAGAGACAGTGGTTGATAGCAGCAGATAATTTAGACTTGGTTGGTAGCATTAGCCATGGAAAAAAAAAATGGGCGTATTCTAGATGTTGTTTGAAGATAAAGCCAACCAGACTTCTGGTAGAGTGGGTGTGATAAGTGAGAAGAAGTGAAGGTTGTTCACAATTCTTCTAGTGCATTATTTTTCAAAATGTGATCCATAGGACCTCTACAGCAGACTCACCTGAGATACACTGAAATACATCCCCGTGGTATACCTGAATCATACTTTTTCTCTAAAGGGCCAGACAGTAAATATCTGTTACCATTACTTGACGGTGCTGATAGAGCACTAATGCAGTCATAGACAATGTTTAAATAAATGTAGATGTGTTCCAATAAAACTTTATTCATAGACATTAAAATTTGAATTTTATAAAATTTTTACTTGTCAAAAATATTATTTTAAAATATTCTTTAACATTTGAAAATGAAAAATTAAACATTCCTGGCTCCCCAGCCATAAAAATCAGGCAATGGGACCCATTAATATTTTATCCATAGGCCATGATGCTTTTCCAACTCTGCTCTAGAGAATAGAT